ACCGACACGGAGGCGACTTCGGTGTTGGTGATCAATGGTCAACTAGGACGCCCGTATTGTCTCAGGGGTCCTCATACTGTTCAAGAGGATCTCTGATTGATATTTCAGGGTATGACCCAAAGAACTGCGATTCTGGATGTGACCTACAGCCGGTCCTTTCGGGCCCTTGCGTCCTCCAACTAGACTTTTGACAGTCGACTCTGTTGGGGCCACCCAGACCACTCTTCGGGCCTCATCGAATGCTACCCTTGGTCGCCTCGGGACCCAATGCGAGCACAGGACCCTAGCGCTAAGCACTATGGGCCCCTGATAGATGCAGATACAAGGCCCCGACCAGTGTAACTCACTGGCCCGGCTTTGTGGCTGATTGGGAAGTGGGCCCCCCGGCCCATACCGACAAGGAGCCGGCTGCGCGGGTACTGGTGGTCCCTGACCAACATAGAGGCCCATATAGATTCAGGGGTCCCCGATCGGCGCAAGGGGTCCTTTAACTGTCATTTGGGGGTCCGTCCCCGTAGGTCGGGTCCCCTGAATAAGCCTCTGACCAGCCCTCTCCGCCCTTAGACCCTCCAATCGGGTCCTTGATTTTCTGAACCGGTGGGTTCTCCAGGCTTTTCGGATCTTTTCGAACAATGCATCTGGCCAACTCGGGGCCCCTTGCAAGCACAGGGCTCCCGTTAGGCACTGTGGGGGCCTGACAGACGCCGGGGCCCCGACCAATGTAAATCGCTAACTCCAGCTTTGCCTAGTTTGGGAAATGGCCATCAGGCCCATGCCACCAGGGAGCCGACTGTGCGTTACTGGTGGTGTTTGTCTGACATATAGGTCTTTCTTGACATTCGACCCAGGGGGCCCCAGATTGGCGCGTAGGGCTCTCTACCTGTCATTGGAGCGCCCGGCCCTGCGTGCGGGGGGCCATGAGTACGACCTCCTGCCGGCCTTTCGGGCTCTCAAATCGGACCCTTAATCATAGGTTTCGAGGGATCCGAAGGGTCCCTCAGAACTTAAGGGGAGGGGGTCCGTACATCCTGTGCCCCCCCCCCCCCTCCTCTGCCTGCGCTACTGGCAGGATCACGGAACTTGATTTCGCTCGGTAACGTTTGATGATTGTGGTTGATCTGTAACGTGATTACGTTCTTCCTCTCTAAGTTCTTGCAGCGCGGTATTCACGTGCATAAAAATGTTGCTTTAAGCCGGGCAATCAAATGTCCTGTGAAACTAAAGCGTCCCCAAACCGCCACTCATCACCAAGGCGCACATGGGAGAAAGGGCGTCGACGGTTCTCTTGCCGCCGAGAGAGATGAGTTGGGGGGGGGGGGGAGAAGACACGCCCCGTGGCGCGGGGGATGGGGTGTACTCTCAACTGTCTCCACATGAGAGAATTACAGGGGCCACTATACATCACGCACCCTTTTCCTTATGTTTTTGCGCCACGAGAGTACGCGTCGTGGTAAGGTTCATTGGGATTGGGGACCATATAACACACCGTTCCTGACGGCTCTGAGTAGGAGGGGCGCATGCCCCCCCCCCCCCCCCCCGTTACGTTTCAACTACCGACAGGTGCCAGTCAAATCAGAGATATTCCATATCACATTCACAAGCGACGAGTCCCATGTGATGTGTTCAGAAGTCATTACCGGCTAAACGGAGCATCGGCAGGATCACCACGGGGTCAAAGGACGCCACGCGCAAGCATGGTGCCACTTTCACCGGTTGATCAGCGGTAATGACCTTATGTATCCTCACGAGCTTACGCGCCATGACTGGATCGTCACACTGTCACTGGTGTCAGCAGCGAGGTGGAGACATCGATAACCGCTGGCGGCAAGGCCGTCTCGAAACTCAAGTGTCAGGGTGCACCCCATGTCCTCGCCGCATCTCGCCGCGGCGTCATCTGGGTCGCTGCCAACAGCTGTCGGATGCTGCGCTGCTAAATAGCGGTAGCACGAATCCAGTTCGGCAATTAGCGGTCTCGCAGGCCGCCGTTACGTCACATCAGCACGATTCATCAGCCTCCGCGGCGCATTGATCGCAATGCGGCCTCGCAGGCTGCAGCATTGTCTGAATATTGCATCTCACTGGGATCAGAAGCGGAGCAGAAGACGAGATAATCACCCCAAATCAGAGCAAATAGTGGCGCCGGGCGGCGTCCGACCCAGCCGTCCAGCGGCTTGCTCTTGACATTAGCGCTGGCAGGTCGCCTCCGGGCGGCCCATATAAACCAAGGCGTTGAAGGCATCGATATCAGTGCACCCGCAGCTTCTCAGTGACCAACGATGTACACCCAGGTGAGACGCTCGGCACTGTGGCACCGTGTCAGCGGGGACGTTCGCGTTCGCTTGCATCTCGCCTCACCTTTAGACTTCCCTCTGGAGTGGTTACTTGCTTCGAAATCGTACAGTAGACTTGTCAAAAGAGTTCAGTTGGGAACTTCCAACTGTGAAATTATTTTGCATTATCCTTCGGTTTCATTGGTGTGCGTCATTCCTGTCTGGCTACCACCGCCATGGGCAGCGGCACGTGTTTCGCTTGAGCATTAGGGTGTCGGCTGGGCGCACCGCCAATTGTTATCAAAGGAAACGGCAAGACGAGCCAGCCATAGACCATAATTCATGTACGCATCTCGAGAAGCACGCCGTAACCAGAATGCGAGAAACCAAGCTAGTGCGGATCTGTTATTCCGTTTTGCGTCTAACGCCGTCGCCTCGGTCTGCAGGCAGCTGTCGCGTTCGTGGCGCTCTGCGCCGTCGGCGTTCTGGCCGCCCCACCCGGCCGGTACCCGTCCACCGCGGCACCGGCGCTGGCCCGGTACCAGTTCCAGTACGTCGTCTCGGACGAGTACGCCGGTCTTGAGCACAGCCGCGCAGAGAGCCGGGACGGTGACCAGACCACCGGCTCGTACCGCGTGCTGCTGCCCGACGGCCGTGTGCAGCACGTGCAGTACATCGTGGACGGCGACCAGGGGTACGCGGTCGAGGTGAGCTACGAGGGCGAGGCTCGGCCGTACCAGCCGGTGCCGCGGTACCCACCCCGGTACCGGGCGCGCACCTACACCCTGGGCGCCACGACCGAGGCGCCCCTGCCGGCCACCCCCGAAACTCCGGCCATCGAGACTGTGCAGGACAGCGTGGAGCCTCAGGCGGAGGAGACTGCCGAGCAGACGGAGACGGCTTCATATGAGGCGGAGACGGCTGCCGAGCAGACGGAGACGGCTTCACATGAACCGGAGACGGCGCCCGAGCAGGCGGAGACGGTGGTCGAGCAGACGGAGATTGCAGCATACGAGCCGGAGACGGCGGCCGAGCAGGTGGAGACGGCAGCATATGAACCAGAGACGGCAGCCGAGCAGACGGAGACGGTGGCGTACGAGCCGGAGACGGCGGCCGAGCAGGCGGAGACGGCAGCATATGAACCAGAGACGGCGGCCGAGCAGACGGAGATTGCAGCATACGGGCCGGAGACAGAGGCCGAGCAGCCGGAGATGGCGGTCGAGCAGGCGGAGGCGGAGCTGGCGCAGACGGACGCGGAGGACGCAGCTCCCGGTGTCACCCCGTCCGCTGTCTATCGTCAGGATATTGCATAGTGCAAGTCGCGGCCCGGAGCAGGAGAAGGCCAGCGGCCGAGCTTACCAACAAGTGTCGTGCGAACCATGTATTACAGTGTAGCGGCACTCCTGTTCACGCGACGAAAATACAGCGCCATCTGTGCGATCCGGCTTGTAAAAGCGGCTACCAAAGCGCCTACCGAGACCATCTCATCGCCATTATGAGGAACCATAAGCAACAATGAAACACACAGAGTGAACACGACCAAGACAACAGTGGTACACATTAGCCTGCCATACACGGGTCACATAATTTTAACACAGAGCGTAGCCCGGGGTAGTAAAAGGATCACATGGAAATCGCAAAAACGTCACAAATTAGGATAAACTGGGCGAAGCAGACCAACATACCAATGAACACAAAACGTGCGGATAAGCTGAGCACGAAACAAAATGTTTTCAATGAAATGATTTTAAATATCAAGACTGAACTACATTTCACGAGATACGTGCATAGCAATGATAAAAGTTTGGCTTGGATGCATGGATTCAAAGAATCAGATGAAAACTTAAAATTTCGATCAGAACAGAAGTTGACAATTCGAAGGCCAGTGCATGCAACCACGATAATAAACGAAATGCCACAGAACATTGTAATCAGAGCAAAATGACCTATTAAAATGTATCAGACATCTGCTTCCTCCAATTAGAGCTGGTCATGGACGTACGTGCGGAGCAGCAGACAGTCCAAAAATGTCCAGAGTCAAAACGAACATACCCATAACGTACAAAGTCAAATTCGAGCATACCAGCTGTACCTCTACGCAGACTACCTTTCATTTCATAGCCTCGTCATTAAGCACACAAAACACGTAAATCATCATTAGGAAAGCTTTACTGAACTGAAAAGCCTAACACGGCTTTAAAGTCCTGTCTCAGAACAGACAGCAGCCGACGCGTTCCGCTCCATCCGTCCTGCGGCTGCTGGCAGGCCAGTGCCTGCGCTGCTCCGTCTTCCCCTCCCCACCCCTCATGGCGCCCAAAGACAAACACATTCCCAGCGGCCAAAGCCTACAGTCCCGCGGTGCAGCAACTCCAGGGCTGCACTTCAATGCTGGCTGGATAAAGGCCAGCCGCTCGGAGCGTCGCCCCCGGCCACAGGGCCGCCATGTGACTCGGAGGGCGGGGCTACAGCCGGGGGAAACACGACGGCGGCCTTCGCGCGGCATCAGCGGGCGACCGACGACATTAGAAACAGCTTACCGCTATCACAGAGGAGGCGTGTGCGATGACCCAGCAATGACCCAGCAGTGACTCGCTGCCACAAACGGTTCAATGGCTACCGGAGCGATCAGAGCCAGTCTCTCAGACACCACCGCGCAGCACCGGAGGAGGCCGACGCACCAGCGTTCAGCAACAGCTTCGCGGGCAGCGCCGACGGACGCGGGAGCGCGCGCTACATGTTCAGCAGGCGCTTCCACCACGTTTCGTCGGTGAACTCGCCACGCTCCTTCGCCTTCTGCAGGTTCTCACGGTACCCGTCGAACGAGATGTAGGGCTTGATGCGCTGGTCGGCGTCCAGGGACAGAGAGTAGGGGTTGGTGTTCTGTTCGGACGAGTTGGTGCTGCTGCTGGTGGTGCTGGGGTGGCCCGTGGTGACGAACGTGTTAGAGGGTGACGGTGCTGGCGCCGCCGGACGACCGCAGCGGGTAGCTGAAGTTGCGCACCAGCAGCGTCATGTCCTCGCAGCGCTGGCACCGCTTGTTGCCGGAGTTGATGAAGCAGTCCTGGTGGTCGCGCGCCACGCGGTTCACGACCGTCTGCGCCACGCCCGCCAGCGTGGTCGACTTGGCGAACTGCAACAGCGCAGGCCGGCTCTCGGTGGCGGACCGGTACGAGCCTCGCAGCGGCGTGCGTGCCGTCACGCTCGCCGTCAATGCCCAATGAGGCCCACAGATGGCAACGGGCCGCACTCAGTCCACAACCCCCCGCAACCCACACGGCACAGGTTTTCCGTTGTAGCACGCAAGGAAGCCTTATTCTAAGGTCCCTAAAAGCAATGAATTAATCGCGACACACGTTTGGATTTACGAATGCAATGTTGTCCTTTGGGTTTGATTCGTAGTACAGCCCCAACAGCAGTGGGATTTTGCACAGGACACACCTCGTACTTAGGCCACATTCACAGTTACACTACAATAAACTGACGTCAAGGTGAGAAGACCATCGTCAGCATCCACCACCACGTCAATCCTGATCGCTCAGTTGGTTAGCACGCCCGCCTTTGGATCTACCTAGCCTTGGCGGGGTGGGTTCGAGTCGGTTTAGGCACCCGCTATTTACCCCCCGCACCTCCCCCTGACAGACGTGGCCAGCGGCCCGTGGCAGCGGCCACGCTAAAGGTCAGGTGACGTCAGAGAGCAGGGCGGACCGTGCTAAGCGTGGCAGTATGTTAAGGTTTCGCCGCCCAATTCTGCCGTTGGCCTGCAGTTAAACGATCGGATAGCACGGGACAGGGCTTGTACATCAAACACTGCTTAGCCTGTACTCTGATCGCAGACATCCAAAAATTTTAAAGGACCGGATTAGATTTTCAAAAATGGCGTCAGCTGACCCCTCCCAAAACTGAATCAGGTCTCCTACCTTAAGCATGAGTCACCGTGCAGGAGCGTAGTTTCCCAAAATGAGTTACAGGGGACAGTGGGCGGCTGAACCGGGAAAAATGAAACTTGTCCCAAAAATACGCGGACAATCTGTTTTTCCCTGGCATCGTCCCGTTTTAACCAAATTTGAGGAATTGGAGCCAAGGTCAGGTGGGCTGAAGCCCCCTCCCCAACTGAAATGAAACTGCACTTCTGCCCCGGTGTCTGCTCTGTAGGGCCCAGTAGGACACGTCAGTCGGGATTCGCTTCTGGCAATAGGGAGATCAGCTCTAGACGTCCTGCGCGAACTTGGCGTGTTCACAGCAAACGAAGATCTACTCATTACCAACGTAGGCAACTACACACATCCTGTGAGCACGACTCACCATTTCCCTTATCTCACTGCAGATAACAGCGGGGTACTAATCTGACGGCCATGGCCGCATGCCAGTACCCGACAGCGCTGTAGCGTCACCCCGGCGACTAACCTCCTCCACTACCAGCTGGGCCACCTCCTTGTTGACCTGCGGCTCGTCGCGCACCTCCTCCAGGGCGCGGTAGAGGCCGCGCGAGAGCAGCAGCAGGAAGCGGCACGACTCGTCCAGCTGCACGCTGACGAAGTCGGGCTCGGCCAGCGCCGGCTCGGCGCAGCAGGCGCGCAGGCGCTCGTCCTCGCGGTAGCCGCCCTTCACCCGGTAGTTGCCCAGGCAGCGCGTCACCTCCTGGCCGGCCAGCGTCTCGCCTGGGGGCAAGGCACGCGCCGCTCAGTGGGACCGTGTCACGAGCCGCTCAGGGGGACCGTGTCACGAGCCGCTCAGAGGGACCGTATCATGAGCCGCTCAGGGGGACCGTGTCATGAGCCGCTCAGAGGGACCGTGTCAAGAGTCGCTCAGAAGGACCGTGTCAAGAGTCCTTCAGAGGGACCTTATCGCGCGCCGCCCAGAGGGACCGTGTCATGAGCCCCTCAGAGGGACCGTATAACGCATCGCTCAGCGGGACCGTGTCATGAGCCGCTCAGAGGGACCGTGTCACGAGCCACTCAAAGGGACCTTGTCATGAGCAGCTCAGAGGGACCGTGTCAAGAGTCGCTCAGAGGGATCGTGTCATGGGCCGCTCAGAGGGACCGTGTCATGGGACGCTCAGAGGGACCTTATCATGCGCCGCTCAGAGACCGTGTCATGAGATGCTCAGAGGGATCGTGTAACGAGCCGCTCGGAGGGACCGCGTCACGAGCCGCTCAAAAGGACCCTGTCATGAGCCGCTCAGAGGGACCGTGTCAAGAGCCGCTCAGAGGGACCGTGTCATGAGCCCCTCAGAGGGACCGTGTCACGAGCTGCTCAGAGGGACCGTGTCACGAGCCCCTCAGAGGGACCGTGTCACGAGCCGCTCAGAGGGACCTTATCATGCGCCGCTCGGAGGGACTGTGCCATGAGACGCTCAGGGGGACCGTATCACAAGCCGCTCAGAGGAACCGTGTCACGAGCCGCTCAGAGGGACCGTGTCACGAGCCGCTCAGAGGGACCGTGTCACGCGCCGCTCAGAGGGGCCGTGTCACGCGCCGGGGGCGTGCCAACCAGCAATCGAGGTTGACGAATCACGCGGCTCGTCACCAGGTCCTCCGTCTCACCTGGGTAGGCCGAAGCGCAGCCACGGCGCTCCAGCAAGGGCCAGCGGGATTTCAGCGACGGTAGTAATACACTTACGGCAACAAAGTCACCACTACAACTGGCGTCCGCAGTTTGGGCGCGCCGTAAAGCACGCATTGCGCTTGTTCACACGGGATTCGTTCTCCCAAACCATGCGCAGCGAAAAGCCATGCGCGGGCTTCGCCTCCAGAGGCGAGTGACATGGTTAACAAGAACGCTATATGACCAGCGTGTGTACGGGCCGGCGAGGCTTGACGCACCTTGTCTGAGCGGCGTCACGTCCATGCCGAGCTGCTGCAGACGCAACAGCTCGTCCTCGTTGGTCAGCGTATGGTCAGTGGTCAGCTGCAGTACCTGTCAGACGCACGAGGGACAGAGCGGGCAGACGTCATTCACCTCATCTATGTCATGTCCGAGTCACCAGATCCACTAGCACAGCATGATGCACCAGGTGATGAAGCACGTGAAAATAACTGAGCGTGGCGCCTATATACACAAAAGGGCATACTGCTGGCTCACCACTCTCGCGCCCAGACGGAGATCATACTGGATGGCCAGTTTCTAGCGCGTCTGGGTAAGGTCACGACCCCGCATGATGACCGCACCAATGGCCCTATTAGATTGCAGTTCAATTTCACAAAGCGAACATGGCTTGCATCCAGTTCAATGAAACATAACTACGAGCACACGCCATTTTGGATCGCGCAGCGCGAACACTCGTGTTCGAAAGACTGCGTCTCACCGGGGCTTCTGATATACGAAGAACTTACCAGTCGGAACACAACGTAACCGCTACCGTTTCCGGACCAATGACTTGAAAGCATGACACAATTACAAAGCTCGTGGTTTCATACCTCCGTCTCGGGCGAGACCGCACCGTGCCCGGGGTCATCCGCCAGCCGCGCCGCCCACCTTCAGAATGCCGTTCTCGTCCGTCTTGCAGAGCAGAGCGCGCGAGTCCCCCACGTTGGACACGTACAGCCGGTTCTGGTGGACCACCACCACGACGGCCGTGGTGCCGCCGCTGATCCGAGAGTTGAGCTGGGTCAGCTTCTGCATCGCCGCCGGATGATCCCGGTTCGCCTCGAACTCGGTCAGGCCCTGCGCGCGCCGGCCGCCTCTTAAGCACGACACGGGCGGCTTGGCGGGGACCAAGGCCCGATCACACAAGCCACTAACACGGCGCAAGGAGAGCACCCATCGGCAGCGTGTCGCCAGACGACGGCTGCGCTCAAATCGGCATCACCGGCAACAGGGTGCACGTCGCTGGTAAATGTCACGCCGGTGTCCTGCAGCCTTCACCAGCGCTAGGATAAAGGTTCAGAGTGGCCGCGTACTCGGAGCTCGCTGCTCGCCATCTGTCCGCTCGTGTTCTCATCCGGGACCGCCATTGACGTGAGAGACGAGACGTCTTGATCGGCTATATGGCCCGTATCCAGTCCGTTCGAAACCGTTCAGCCAAACAGACCGAGGAGCGTCGGCCTGGCCAGAACGCCAGGCCGACCCCGGCAGGCGCTGCGCCAGCTGCCGCCCCCCGCCCCCCTCCCCTCCGACACCGCTCCAGCGTCGGCGTCACTGACCGCCGGTATCTCGGAGAGCAGCATGGCGCGCTGGGCCAGCGCCTCGTCGATCATCTCGAAGAAGCCCTTCTCGACGGCCAGGAACGCCTGCTGCAGCGCCACGCACACGCTCTCGTCCGAGCTGCCGCGCCGGGTCAGCTGGCCGAAGCTCAGCTCCGCTGCCGGCGCCGGCCGCGCGGGTCAGGGCGCCGGCCGGCCTGCCCGCGGACTCACCGCCACCGCAAGCACGACGCACAGAGGCCGGCAAGTTGTCGAGGATTATAGCGTGTCGAGGTGTGTGATCAAGTGAACACATTTTAAGCAGCATTAGTGTTACCATAGTTTTGACGAGCTTCCCAGCCATACTTTCTTAACGAATTCCATTCTGCGGTTCTGGGAGATTATCGCAAACGCCACACCCAATTTATGATCAAGACATTCACGTATGCACCCGGAGAGGGAGAGGGGGGGGGGGGGGAGGGGCACCGTAGATTTACGACGCAATCAGCTGCTGAGGCTGTATAGCGTCCCCTCTTCTCACCCTAGCAGGAAAGGCGGGCACCGCAGGCAATCGAACCCCGCACCTCTGGCTTCCCAGACGCGTAGTGGTTAACGCAGACACGTTAACCACCGCACTAGCAGCAGCCTGGGGGGGGGGGGGGAGGAGCAGCCCAAATAATTTAATGTTTGAGCATTAGGTCCATGGCCGTGCATGGCATGAATGGCCTAAAAAGTCTACAATAATTGTTGCAACTAGCAATCCCTTTTAGAAGTGCCACACCAGGTTACAACAGGGCAGGGCACGGCAGGGCAGAGCAGGGCAAGGCAGGGCAGAGCAGGGCAAGGCAGGGCAGGGCAGAGCAGGGCAGGGCAGGGCAGGGCAGGGCAGGGCAGGGCAGGGCAGGGCAGGGCAGGGCAGGGCATGGCGGAGCACAGCAGAGCAGGGTGGAGCAAGGCAGGGCAGGGCAGGGCAGGGCAGGGCAGGGCAGGGCAGGGCAGGGCAGGGCAGAGCAGAGCAGAGCAGGGCAGAGCAGGGCAGAGCAGGGCAGAGCAGGGCAGAGCTGGTCAGCTGATGTCTTCCTCACCTGGCATTCGCTGCTGGGCGAAGTGGGCAGCGCGCGACCCATCATGGCCGTCGAACACGCCGTACAGGCAGAGGTCGGTGTCCAGCTCAAAGTGGAAGCTGTAGTCCTCCTGTGTGTGCTCCTGGGTCCGGTAACCGTCACGCCGGTACGCCTTGTTCGTTTCGTAACCAACGCCTGGAGAGCAAGCACTGATGCATTCATGGCTACAGAAGATGTGGGTGCTGATGCTAAGTGACCACATTATACTCACATGCTTATAAAGCCTAGGTTGCTGGCAACCCTGTGTTTGCCCTCAACTTAAACTCATGCAAATATTTGAAGCTGGTCGAAAAAAGAAGTCATTTGCATAGTGCATAGCATCACACATTATTTGCCTCCTCCAGCAGGCACAGGGAACATAACACAGTCGTTAGGTGTGGTAGAATGTTGCTGTTTGTGGCCAGCAAATGAACACCCTATTCCAAAAGCGTGATCATGTAAGGTTTGTGAGTGTGAAAATATCCCAAGAAGTGCATGAACAAACGATTGATCAAAGTCAGCCGTTTTATGCATTATTACCATACCAATGTCATGGTTCTTCTATGTTTCCAATGGTCCTTACAAATTGGCTCATGATGACTGATCCGACAAGCAGGATCACACACACAGCTACCCAGCACCAGCCATCATCCCATAGAATGCACATAGCACAGCTAGCCCTCAGACTTCAACATGATGGCTCGGCCTGGGCTTGGCTGCCCTCAACAGGATGTCACCGGCGGAAGTGGCAGGTCGGTCGTACCAGAGTTGTTGCAGACGGGCAGGTCGTCCGTCCAGCTGCTCTGCTGCTGCGGCAGGCTCTGCAGCGGCAGGTGGGGCCCGCTGGACGCCGTTGGAGTCGACGACATCCTGTCTTACTCTTGGGGCAGCCAACTCAAAGCTGCAAAAGCACAATGTGCACACAACTTCAGTCTGCTTTATGCTGCATCTCATTCGACTGGAAGTGGCACTAATTGTAGTATCTAGTGCCTGATGGGAATCACAGAGACTTGAAACTGGTGTGCCCAAATAAATCAATGTTCAAGAATTGAACATGGCATGCAATGGGGCAGCATGTGTGAATCACGGGATCATACAACATACAGGTTTATATTTGTTTTCATTCATGCTATGTATATTACATTTCTCTTCAGCTTAGGCTAATGTAAAATAAAAATTCTTTCAAAAACTGTTGAGAGGATGTTAAGTGGCATTTATTCTAACAACAACTGTCAGAAATGTCAATAAAGAAGCACATCAAACCCATTTTATTAAAGCCCATGTATGTGCCCATGGTCCTATTCATTCTGGTATTCATGTCATAAAGTTCCTAACCAAATCAAGCCCATGCAAACCCAACTTGTGCAGGACTACAGATGTTGTCAGGGTGCAGACAGTACATGCCAGGTTGTGAGCATCTAATATGGAGTGGTCACACATAGAGCCATCTTGTTGTCCCATTTGTGCCCTTAATATAGTGAGAGCAGGAAAACCCACACTGAGGATGAGGGGGGGGGGGAGCTGATGGACTATTTTTGGGTGTGTTTCTTCCTAGCTGATATTTATAGGGCCAATGCTAAACTTTGCCCATTGCCCTGTCTACATAGGTTTCTTTGAAACCCATAGAAAATACAAACTCCATTTTCACCAGAATCCAATAGCTCTACCAAAGTCTGAAGGTGGAGATTAAGGGAATATCACTGTTTTTAGGCACTTCTTTTTGTGCAATGCCACAAGTATAAGGTCAATGTCCAAAGAAGTTGAGATGGATATATTGACATCCCTATGGTGGAACACATGCTGAGATCCGCTCCAGCAGAATCAATTCTACAGCCACCAAGCCATGGTCCACTCACCCAGAATCAATTCTATAGTCACTGAGCCATGGTCCACTCAGCCAGAATCAATTCTGCAGCTACCAAGCCATGACCCACTTAGCCAGAATCAATTCTACAGTCACCAAGCCATGGTTCACTCAGCCAGAATCAATTCTATAGTCACCAAGCCATGACTCCTTGAACCTAAACTTAAGTTTAATCAAAGTTGTGCTATGCTAGTTGGAGTCAGAGAAATATGTGACACCTGCAGTGAGTCATTACCAGGATCCATTGATGTAGAGTTTAACATAAGTCTATCCAACATGTTCATGATAATTGATTGCTTTGAGAGCACTGACCACAAGTAATTTTGTAACCATGGCCCTGCTTATAGCTAAAGCTCACAACATGGAGAATTCCTTTTGGGTTTAGTACTTGGAAACCAGACATTTCTCACACCATGCCTAAGATTTCCACTACCACTTACCATTTCCATTATAAATATATCATGATGGTTGCCTGACATATATATCAACATTCTGGACATGAAAGATATATTTTATATATATATATATATATATATATATAACATTCTATTGAGTAGTTTTGAACAGCTCAGCCAAAACATGAGGTAACAAGCAAATTCTCATCTCTTCACAAGTGCAAAAGACATGCTCATATAATACCAATCCTATGTAGATGTAACAAACATCTCAAGACACTCAATAGGTGGATAACAGGCATTACTTTAACTGCTTAGATTTGTGGAAGTGGTGGGCATTTCACAAATAAATGAATCCAATTGCAATCAGGTTGGCTTTTGTGAAAGAAGTTTGCACTTGCAAGAATAAATTTGACTCCAATAGAATGTTCTACATCAGGATGAATTGCAATATGTGAAGCCTTCACTTCTTATCCATAGATATCAAAGTGAATGCAAAAATCAAGTTTGCATTTAACTTGGCATATTGTGTGCACTGCGCAGGCACTGGCAATGAGCTGTGACAAAATCAGTTCAGTGTTCCAGTTTGCACACCAAACTCAGTGCTCACAATATATATGTTGAGCAATTTGCTGCACATAGGCATAGGGTGTTGGACTATGATTGGCAGTTGGCAGTGGCAGAGTTGAAATAAATTCATCTTCGGCCATCCTTCATGGTCCAGACACCCCATGGTACTGCACACAACCTGGCAAAGCCATGTGGACTAGCAGACATACATCACGCTGCTGGGCTTCACCTGTCACTTTAAGAGTAAAAAAAATATTCACACTCTATCGCATAATACCTGCGTCTTCGCTCCGAACTGGCTAATCCCAAGAGCTAAGCTCATATCCCTATCCGCTCTTAACCCAAGCCGCGAATGTAGCGCCCGCGTCAGAATGCGTCACTTCGAGGCCGTCAAGTAAGCAAAGGTGTATATTTGTTTCCAAGTAGCCAAAGACTTTTTTCCTACAGAATTCTATGGATATTTGGTGGCATCTCGGGATTCCAGAAATCTCCCCCAATTTGTTGAGCCTCCACGAACAGGACGAGCTTCGGTATTTGATCTCGGTTTTGGTGGTAACTTTAAGATCGTGATGAGTGGACCGGCTGTCGGGTTGTTCAGGTATCCTGCCCCGTCTGCCTTAATCCAGCTCTAGAAACTGATCTCTATGCACCACGTTGAAAATAATATTGATATGCCGCGAACTTGGTGACTGCCCTGCACCGCATTGCAGCCGACGGAGAGATGGTAGGGAATGCGGTTCCCCTGAGCAAATGGCAAGGTACCTGCTTAGCAGGCGCGCATCCAGAGCCTTGGCAAAGAGGCACTATCATAGTTGAGAAGCTGCCCCTTGATAGTGAAAGACCCCCTAAACAAAATCGTCGGATACGACCCATTGGTTAATGAAGGTATGTTTTACTTTTTTGTTTTTGTTTTTCATTTTTTCTCCTCAAGCTGTAATAGAGGCCAGTGGCGACCGCCAGATAAATTTTGCCTGAACCTCATAGCCAATCAAGTGAAGAAATCATGCGTGAAACGACGGCATGAAATAAATCGCCAGCACTCTCCATTTTCCAATAGTTCAGTAGACTCTTTCTGAACCGAAAGACTCATAAGCTTCGTTAGAATTTTTATGTGGGTTGTACAGAGATATTAGGGACTCCGCGAATGCAGACTGTAGGTTGAATTGTGTCAGCAATTTGTATTGATATGGCCAGGCCATGTTTGTCGGGAAATGTTCAACATTCAGCCATAATCGATCAGTGGTACAAATTATGCAACGTAGTTTTAAACATGCGCGCTCACAAGTTCGTACAGCCAAAAATCTCAACGCCAGCGTTGTAGTCCCAATAGACCGCACAGTACAATGATGAGGCACCTGAAAGGAATACCATTGGACTCGTGAGTACATCAAATCTTACGTTTAGAAGGAAATCCAGGTGTAAATTTCACCGGCGCGATTTTTAGACTGATTATAAGAACGAACGGGTCTTCACAGCACCGCGAAGGGCTGCTGGAATCTGGTGGTGCAACTGGAAGAGTAAAGGTGGAATCTATTTTTCGTGCGGCTGCTGTAACTGTTAAACTGCCCAGAGGACACCTTCAAAGTTGAAAAAGATCCACCGGTCTCATCTTTGAAGGGTGTGAGTTACGTTTGAAAGAGATAAGGAATCATTATTTCAGGGCGGTCACTCTTGCGCTTCCGGCGCCCGCCGTCTTGTGTTACTTGCAGCGGACAACGCGCCTCGGTTTCATGGAAACTGCAACCCATAGCACTCCTGTCCTTGCTCCCGATATCTCGAACGCGCAGGGTAAAACTTTCTATGTAATTTTTCACTCATTAATTCTGCAAAGGATTCAACGTTCGCAGACAAACCCTGGATGGCATTGTTTGTTTTTAAAACTCATTTCGATCCACCCTTTCAGCACCAATGAGACCCCATATCTCTTTCCGGGCAAGATCCCCTTGAGAAGAACACCAGGGAGCACATATTGTTCCCGGTCAAGGGCTGAAGGGCCATACCATTCCAACGCGGTGTGTCTTCCGACTGTCATTTGGGTGACATGGGGTGGAATCTCCTTGTCGATCCAGAGGACTTTAGAGGGATGCATCATATGACACTGGTTTTCGGCCTGACACGAGAGGCCTTTTGACCCGCGCAGTTGACCCCGGATCGACACAAAAACCCTCAATGACGCAACAACATCCGTGATCGCCACAGATGGTCCAATAATTGGACAATAGACTTCAGTTCGACTCAACGGGCCCCTAGTGGAATTGTGTTGGAGGGCCCACCGTTCGGTACTTGGAGCCCTGGCTGGTACAGGACCCTTCCATTGTCGTAATATGAACACTCATTATAAGTTCGCACGTTTCCTTTCATTGTCAGAGGGCTCCAACCAACGCCAGAGGTCCTTTGTCATTCGGGGTCCGCGTCCCTGTTGAACAAATGTTCTCCTAACCGATTCGAGGCCCCTTGTTGACACAGAACACCCTGTTAGGCACTATGACCCTGACCGATACAGGAGCCCCCGCATTGTGTCAAGGACCTCGAACCTTGCTTATCGCGGACCTGGGCCATGTTCCCGTTTGGGAATGGGGTCCCAGGGCTCAGACGGACTTGGAGTCGACTATTTGGCGCAGTGTTGAGGCCCTATATGATGGGGAAAGAACCACACCACGTCTCTCATCTCGTGCCATGCGTTTTCTACGGTTCTTCTATATGTATGGCTTAATGTTTGATTCGAGTCAATGAATTACGAGTTACACGATATAAAGGAAGATGCAGCGATGATGAAAATGCGTCAAGAGCTTAAGAAAGGCCTTCAAAGTCAAACATACCCGTCTTTTCCAAATCGGTCAAGTTTAAGATAGTAGTCTAAGCCTCATTCCTCGGATAAAACTACTGTCCTAAACTTGACCGATTTGGAAAAGACGGGTATGTTTGACTTTGAATATATGCATATGGGTGTGTGAAAAGTGTTCCTCGCTAATGCACTGAACAAATTACGTAACTTTGGTCAAGTTCAGACACGGGTGCGGTACGGCTCTGGGAGGTCATAACGGCCGGTGGCAGGTGGTGCCAGGACGAGGCCGCACCATAAGAAAACGCCCACCAAAGCGCCGGCCACCGCCCACCTCATGATGCGCTCACTCATGGCGGTCCGAGGGGTGAACAGCGACCGGATCGCCAAGGTGGCACGGGGGCCATTTAGGACCTTGAAAACGTCGATGTGGTCGCGGCGCGTAACAAGGTCACTGATTCTGCCCCAGGCCAGGATATTGCCACCGGTGCAATACGATTTTGGCGCACCCGAGACGATCCTGGCCGCGAAAGTGATGACTTTTTGCACCCGGTCGAGATAGAAGGCGGCCTGGCCGAGCCCTAATAAGAGGGCCCTTATAAAAGTCATTAGACTCATATTTCAGGTCACAGCAATGTAGGTGAGGAGCCGGGCCCCGATTCTAATCGGCCCGTGATCTTTGGTAACGAGGGGTCCTTTGGACCCCCGCAAACACGGCTTTTGACGACTCGGGTCACTTGTCGACGCAGGACTTCCTGTTGGGTACTGACCGACACCATCATGGCTTCAGTGACCCCAAGTAATGCAAATCGCGTGTTTAGCCTTGCCCTTGCTTAGGCATAGCCCCCCCCCCCCAGGGCTCAGACCAACATGTAGCCAACTGCTCAGTGTTGGTAGATGGCCCCTGGCCGAAATAGAGGCCCGCACGAGCAGAGGCTCCCAATCGATGCAAGAAGCCTTCCGACCGGTGTTTGAGTTCACGGCCTTACGGGTAGGAAGGCGTTCCTGGTGAAGCTTACGGCTAGTCCTTCGGGCCCGTGGTCATCAATCAAAAAGGCAATGGGCCTTCCAATCGGGCTCTTGATCTTTGGTCCCGAGGGGCCCTCCAGCTCTTCTTCGGACTTCTTCAAAGCCCGCGACCGACTCGGAGCCACCAGTCGACGCATGATCTCCTGTTAGACACTGTGGGCCCCTGACAGACACAGAAACCCAATAATTTCGGGACCTCAGACCCAATGCAAATCGTGGCGCCCCGGCCTTGCTCCTGCTTGGGAAATGGGTCCCCAGGCTTCATCCTGACAGAGAGCCAACTGTTCGGTGTTCGTGGCCTCTGGCCGGTTGCGACAGCCGCATTGCCTCAAGGGGTCCTCAAACAGTGTCAGAGGACCTCTGACTGATATTTCAGGCCACAGCCCTACACGCTGCGATTTTTTTATGTAATCTACAGCCAGATCTTTGGGTTCTCGTGCCCTCCAACCAAGCCTTTGTTCATCGGTTCCGGCGGGCCGCTCGGGCCCCTCTTCGGGCCTCATTGAATGCTACCTCTAGCCGATCGGAGGCTCTTGCCAATACAAGGCCCCTTGCTGGGCGATGCGGGTTACTGACAGACGCTGGGGCCCCGACCATTGCAAATCGCTGGCTCCTGCTTTGTCCCTGCTTGGGAAATGGGCCCGCAGGCTCGTGCCAACGCGGAGCCGACTGTGTGTTATTGGTAGTGCCTGAATGATATGTAGCCCGTTATCAGCTCAGGAGGGCCCGTGCTCAGCGCGCAGGGCACTCTTACTGACATGAGAGTGCCCGGTACTGTGGGCCGTGCCCATGGTAGACATCCGGCTAGCCTTTTGGGCCCTTAGGACCCTCAAATTGAGCCCTTCTTCGCAGGTCCCGAGGGGCCCGGAGGGCCCTCGGAACCTAAGCGGGCTACGTGCCCTCTGTGCCCCTCTGCCTGCGCTACCAGGCATGGTGGAAACTGTAGGTGAGAGTGGTTGGGGGCTGAGGCTGATCCCGTAAACTTTCACACTCTCGCATTTAATAGCATCAAGCATTGATTGGCAGTAATTTGGCAGCATTTCTGGTGAATTTCAGTAAACTAGAACTCCCAGAGATATCCTGAGTTATTTGGTCGGAAAAAGTCGCTAGCGACTTGAAACAAAAACACGCTGTTCGTCTTGATCATGGCGCATTGCTCTGAGCTCGTCGCGGTGGGTGGCGCGTGTTGCCGGTGCGCTCCTGCGGCACGCAAGTTTCGGTAAGATATTCTTGCGAATTCGCTCCCATTCTCTCACGAGAAATGATCGGCCTGGGTGCTTGAAATGCATGCACGATCGGAGTTGTGGTATATACTGGGGAACTGGGTCGGGTCGTCAACAATACTGTTCGTGGGTTTGCACGCGCCCACACAGGTACTCTTGCTAACAGAGTACTGATACAAGCACAATTGTGGTGTGATTTTATGAATATATGACGCTGGCCAGCACCAGCGTACATATGCGTTGTCAAAAAACTGATCAAAACTGATGCTGGTCAACAACAGGCTATGGTGGCCTGATGTGGCAGGCAGATTCATGGATTTGGCTGTTGG